CTTTTTACAGCCAGAGACAGATCAGCACCGATCTGTTTTTCTGCAGTTCACAGCTCACATGGAGCTGCAGGGAAACAGATTGGGTTTCACTGCAGCACGTGTGATCGCTCTGACCTCAGGTCAGAGCGATCACATGGGCTGAATCAGTGAAACTGCCCATGGTAGTGTGCCTCCGATATGGAGACACACTACAGGAAGATTAACCCCATGATTGCCGCGATTGTGGTAATCAAGGGTTAATTTTCATTTTGGACGGAAATTTTCCATCCAGCGTCCTTAAGGGGAGGGCTGAAATGACGGAAAATTTCCGTCCAGCGTCCTTAAGGGGTTAAGGACTGAGCCAAATGTACACGTTGTGAACAAAACAAAACGTAAACAAAACCTGGCATTTGCGCTACATGTCTGTCCAACCGTAATTCACGTCTTTCATATTAAATGCACCCACCCTTATTATATATAATTTTATTCAGGGGAAACAGGGCTTTCATTTAATATCAAATATTTAGCTATGAAACATAATTTAATATGAAAAAAATGGGAGAAAATAAGAAATTGTTATTTTTTTAGTTCTACATGACATTTTAACTGTCAATGTCATAATACTGTTTGCTTTTACTGCAATAAAATACACATATTTGTATTCAGCAAAGTCTCACGTGTAAAACAGTACCCCCTATGTACAGGTTTTATGGCGTTTTGGGAAGTTACAGGGTCAAATATAGCACGTTACATTTGAAATTCGCCAGATTGGTTACGTTGCCTTTGAGACTGTATATAGCCCAGGAATGAAATTTACACCCATAATGGCATATCATTTGCTATAGTAGACAACCCAAGGTATTGCAAATGGGGTATGTCCAGTCTTTTTTAGTAGCCATTTGGTCACAAACACTGGCCAAAGTTAGCGTTAATATTTGTTTGTGTGTGAAAAATGCAAAAAACGCAAGTGTTTGTGACTAGTGCTACTAAAAAAGACTGGACATACCCCATTTGCAATACCTTGGGTTGTCTACTATTGCAAATGGTATGCCATCATAGGGGTAATTTTCATTCTTGGGCTACCATAGGGTCTCTAAGGCAACGTAACCAATCTGGCAAATTTTAATGTGAAAAAAATGAAACACAAGCCTTATATTTGACACTGTAACTTTTGAAAACACCATAAAACCTGTACATGAGGGGTACTGTTGTACTGGGGAGACTTCGCTGAACACAAATATTTGTGTTTCAAAACAATAAAAAGTATCACAGCAATAATATCGTCTGTGTAAGTGCTGTTTGCGTGTGAAAAATGCAAATAATTTCACTTTTACTGGCGATATCATCGTTGTAATACATTTTACTGTTTTGAAACACTAATATTTGTGTTCAGCGAAGTCTCCCGGGCAAAACTGTACCCCCCATGTACAGGTTTTATGGTGTCTTGGAAAGTTATAAGGTTAAATATAGTGCTAGCAAATTAAATTCCCTATACTTTCGGCATGGGTTGTCAGGCAGGTCCCACTATTTGTAATTAACTAAAATACCTAATTATGTAAAAATATTACATAAATATATATGTAGAATTAATATATGTATATAATTTTTAAAAAATATATTTTTATTTAGATATAGGTATATATATATATATATATATATATATACACACACACACACACACACACACACACGTATATATTTATGTATATAGATATATATTATTTTGTTCTATGTGTATTTTGAGATATATATATATATATATATATATTTCAAGAGGGGGTTGGCTACACTCACCTGAACATGCATAAATGGGGGTGCTGCTGGGGGCCAAATAATACAATACACAAGATCCAGCGCACTCACCTATCCACTAAACAGCAACTTCAATGTTGAAAGATTTTATTTGTTTTTTTAAAACACCTAATCTAGGCAAAAATAATGGGGGTTTAGTTACATTATATGATCATACATTGCATAAGCCTGCCACAACGTCAATGTACCCCATCTTTGGCAGGTCCTACACTAACAGCCTAATGTCTGCTCTTATGAGATTAACCCACTTACTTTGGGGGGAAATGCCACCTGAGGCTCTCTGCAGTACAAGGCTACATAGGGCCCAAGGATGAGGCACCTGTGACAAGGAGGGGTGCAAAACCAAGGAGTTGGCTAGACTCCCAAATATATATATATATGAAACAAGAGGGGGTTGGCTGCACTCACCTGAACATGTATAAATGGGGGTGCTGCTGGGGGCCAAATTATACAATACACAAGATCCAGCGCACTCACCTATCCACTAAACAGCAGTGTCATGATGAAAGCTCCCCAGTGGAGCTGAAACGTCGAATTTTTCTTCCGCAATAAATGGAGAAGTTATCTTCTGGAAAACCTTGAGTGCCGGTATTTTCACTTTGTTTATGATTAAGCCACCAGAGCACCAGGTCTTTTTTTATTTTTCTAGTTGGAGTGCAGGGGTATTTTTATATATATATATATATATTATTTCGTTCTACGTATATTGTGATATAAATATATGATATATATATATATATATATATATATATATATGTTATATATATTTATATCGCAATACAGTTAGAATGAAATAACACATATCTATATATTTTTTAATTATTTATTTATTATTTGTTTTTATTTTTTAACGTATTAAATTTTTTTTATATTATATATATATATATAGATAACATTATATATATATATATATATATATATATATATATATATATATGATCAGTATCAGTCTACGTGTAATTTGATATTTATATATATATTTATAATTATATATATATTAATAGTAAAATATATAGTAGACAGTGTATATATATATATATATATATTTATTCTAAGTATATAAAAAAAAAAAAATGACACTGATTTTAACTGTTGTTTATTTGAATTCAGCCAGTCCCCCTGCTGGCAATGCAGCAGCCAGCTAACCCGGCCATGTGATTGTGAGGTCCTTGCAAGGACCTCACTCTCACATGGCCGGGTGGGGGGGGGGGGCGGAGGAGGCAGGATCCGCCGCGGGGGACTCCCTGGGATCCCAGGTGAGACTCTCCAACCGCAATCGCCGGCGATCGCCGTACTATTACGCCCTGCGGCGTTTAGAACCGCTTAGAATAGGGCGTAATAGTATGCCCTCCGGTTTTAAGGGGTTAAACCTTTTTCATGACATTTAGGTAGTATTTTCTCATTTTTACGCCCCCCCCCCCCCAAAAAATAAATATATTATACCTCTTGCGCTTGTTTAAAACACATAATAAGTATATAGGAAGAGATTGACTGTGAATAAAAAAACACTTGTGGAAAATTTTGATACCAGCACTATCATGCATTCTGCCGGTATAGTGTACAGACATGCAGGTGGGAAAAATCATTTCTACAACATGAAGGAATGCACTCATAAAAAATAAACAAATTAACTGGTTTATTCTAAGCAGATCTGTAACATTTTACAGTCAATGTTATAGTTCCATTACCTTGCCATCTTGTGAAAAGTCTGGTAATGGGATTGAAATCATGATATGTATTCTGTATTCTGTTACATGTCTAATTAAACTAAAGGAGTTATTTTGCATCTTCTTAAATCCTATGAGTGTACTTTTTGTTGTACACACTATAAGATTGAAATGTAACACTTGGAAAATTAGTACTGGGAGACACCGAACCAGACCTCCCAACAGTCCCAATTTTGGGAGGTCATCCCAGTTTTAGAGACACCAGGGAACTGTCCCCAGTAATGTAGTGATAGCTCACCTTGCAACAGAGCTCCTTGCATGATCTGCCCTTCGTGACCCGACTGGGTGCATACACACTGACAAACATACAAGCACACCAACACACAATCCCCAATGCACACACTTACTCACTGACACACACTAGGGCATATACTCACATACACTCATTAACACACATTGGCGCATGCACAGTGACCAATACAGACACACTAATACACACAGTGACCCATCAGGGCATGACTACTGTGACGGTTGTTATAGGCTCCATGGTCCTGGGGGTCCCGGACTGCTCTGCGAGTTGTACACATATATTTATAGCGAATACCGCTATATATACACACACACGTGTATCTGCGGGCCCCCTGCTACCTGTTCATTGAAGAGGGGGCCCACAGCATTCTCTGACTTCACTTCCCAGCAGCTCCTGTCTCTAAATCTCTCAAGTTCCACGGCTGTCAGAGCATTGCCACGGGCTACCATTGCGACGCTCCGCACGGCACGCAGGCCGCGAGAGTCAGAGACAGGAGCTGCTGGGAAGTGAAATCAGAGAATGCTGCGTGCCCCCTATGTATTGTCCAGTGGCTGGCTCAGAGCACCAAGCCACCGGACCACCTGGGAATGCGATCTCTCTCCTTCATGGCCAGGTAAGAAGCAGGGAGGGGGGAAAAAATAAAATTTTAAAAAATAAAATTGCCACCCCCCCATTTTACACACATTACATGCCTACACAGACACACACTGTCTTCACTATAGACGCACTACACAAACACACATTCATACATTATAAACACATTACATCCACTACACAAATACACACTTTATCTAATACACACAAACAGCCTTCACTATACACAATCTTCATTCACTATACACACACTACATCCACTACACAAACACACACTCTGCCTTCACTATACACACTCTTCCTTCACTACACAAACACACTCTACATCCACTATACACACACACACACACACACTGCATCCCTGTCAGTGGACTCGGGGGCAGTCCTGTGGGTGGACTCGGGGGCAGGCCCAGACCTTGACCTGTGTCAGTGGCCCCAAAATTTCTGATTGCACCCTGTGACCCACACAAACACACTGATATACACTGAGTAACAAGCACATACTGACACACACTTAGTGACCGATACAACCACACCAACACACACTCACTGACACTCACATACACTCATGATACGCTGGCTGGCACACACACAGTAGCCCATAGAAACACACTGACAAATACAAACACACTGACATGCACACAGTGACCCATACACGCTGACAGACATTATAGGCCAGCGGCCAGGATTCTACTCTACATAGAGTGTCAGCTGCCAGGGTCTGAGGTCATGTTGTATGCCGGCTGCCTTTTGCTCTGTACAGTTGTGAGGAGAAACTGGCATTTGCCACTTCCCGCACCTCCCCACCGGCCCCAGGATAGAGCTACTTATTAGTACATTTCCATGTTTTCTCAGTGGGCCAGTCCTGCCCTATATATAAGTAATTCATCTATGTTAAGAAAGTTTATTATATGTATGAGCTTATCTGTGGCATAAATATCAAAATAAAGTGTTGTGTAATGCTTAATTAGGAGGGGAATGGAACAAAGAAACAAATAAAATACATAAACATTAACAGAAAAATTGTTTACCAAACCAGCATGTGAACAAATATGATGATGCAGATCCTCTGGTATCATGTTTAGAGAATACTCAAAAACTTGACAGAAATGTTATTACTCTCAGAGGCTCAAGAGAAAAAAAAGAACATGCTGTCCTTTTGTCAGCACATTTTTAGAAAATATGAAATCATCAACAATATTGTTATTCATCTGTGACCTGATGGAAATTAAATTGGACAAGATTTTGGTGTGTGTTAAAGGGACACTGCAGATGAAGTGCACATGGTTAATGATATTGCTCAGCAGGTAGTCAAGCTGCAGTACCTCTTTAAATTTCGGGCTTGCAGGTGTGATTCCCAATAGTGTGATTACAGATTTCCTGGTTCAAAAAAAATTAGTGTAGTTAAGTTGGTTAATAATTGCTTCCATCACTCAGTTGGTGATTCACTTATTAATAAATGAGCCTTAAGGGTTGATTATTATTATTATTATTATTATTGTAATGTTATAGTTCAAGGAACACTATAGGGTCATGAACACAAACACGTATTCCTGACCGTATAGTGTTAAAATTACTATCTAGCCTACTTGGCTCCCCTTACCCCCCAAAATATAATACAATCTTACCTTTATTCCAGTCTGCTGGTACTGGCTCTGCCCCTGATCTGCCTCCTTGGCTGACATCATCAGAAGTGATGATCTCAGCCAATCACAATACTTTCCTATAGGAAAGCATTGGATTGGCTGAGATGGTCAATTCTGATGATCTCAGCCAAGGAGGGAGGTCGGGGGCCGGAGCCAAATGCTGTCCTGGCCAATCAGCATCTCATCCTAGAGATGCACTGAATCAATTTATCTCTATGAGGAAAGTTCAGTGTCTCAATGCAGAGGGTGGAGACACTGAATGTGTGCAGAACTGCCCCAGGAAGTACCTCTAGTAGCTATCTGAGGACTGAAGGAACTGACTATACTCACCTTGAACAATAACAATAAGCTGTAGTTGTTCTGGTGACTATAGTGTCCCTTTAACCTAATTAGCACATACACTCATTCATCAGTATCTATACTCAGAAGTCTTCTAGAGCTTCTGATTCCGGCTTAAGATGAGCCAGTGAGTAGAAGAGATAGAATGATTAATGAAATTTGCATCATGTAAGATATTTCTCAAGCTAAAAGGCCTATATTTAAACCTATCCAGTTTAAACCGGGATACAAAATTTATACCAGCATGGAGGAAAAAATAATATTTCATAATACTTGGCATCCTGAAAATATCACAACCGAACACAGTTTTCCACTGCAGATTTGGCCCCACTGCAGATCTGGACTTGGATTTATGCAGTCACAGGTCTACAAGTTTTTGGGCAGGAGATATCTGTATTAATATAACTTCTTAAGGAATTATTATTTAGATGTTCCTGGTGGAAAATATTTTACATACTTAAAAGATGACATTTTTTTGAAATGTATGTATGTATTTATAAGAGCACTGATCACTATCACACATACCTCAAACACTTGTACAAAATAATATTTTTTCCTAAAGTCCTAATTTCCATCATTGCACAAGTTGGGATTTCCCATTCTGAGGCATTAAGCAAAGACCTGTTTAGAATTGTGTGGGATTTTTTTTCTGTCTTGGGCCGATCCAAGTCTCCAAGTCTACGCACCCCTCTAACTATACACTTTCTTTCTCTAACTATATATACACTGCTTACAAAAATAAAGGGAACACAAAAATAACATCCTAGATCTGAATGAATTAAATATTCTTCTGAAGTACTTTGTTCTTTACATAGTTGAATGTGCTGACAGCAAAATCACACAAAAATTAAAAAATGGAAATTAAATTTTTCAACCAATAGAGGTCTGGATTTGGAGTCACACTTTAAATTAAAGTGGAAAAACACACTACAGGCTGATCCAACTTTGATGTAATGTCCTTAAAACAAGTCAAAATGAGGCTCAGAAGTGTGTGGCCTCCACGTGCCTGTATGACCTCCCTACAACACCTGTGCATGCTCCTGATGAGGTCCTCCCAGACATGGACTAAATCATCTGCCAACTCCTGGACAGTCTGTGGTGCAATGTGACGTTGGTGGATGGAGCGAGACATGATGTCCCAGATGTGCTCAATTGGATTCAGGTCTGGGGAACGGGCGGGCCAGTCCATAGCATCAATGCCTTAGTCTTGCAGGAACTGCTGACACACTCCAGCCACATGAGGTCTAGCATTGTCTTGCATTAGGAGGAACCCAGGGCCAACCGCACCAGCATATGGTCTCACAAGGGGTCTGAGGATCTCATCTCGGTACCTAATGGCAGTTAGGCTACCTCTGGCGAGCACATGGAGGGCTGTGCGGCCCCACCAAAGAAATGCCACCCCACATCATTACTGACCCACTGCCAAACCTGTCATGCTGGAGGATGTTGTAGGCAGCAGAATGTTCTCCACGGCGTCTCCAGACTCTGTCACATCTGTCACATGTGCTCAGTGTGAACCTGCTTTCATCTGTGAAGAGCACAGGGCGCCAGTGGCGAATTTGCCAATCTTGGTGTTCTCTGGCAAATGCCAAACCTCCAGCATGGTGTTGGGCTGTAAGCACAACTCCCACCTGCAGACGTCGGGCCCTCATACCACCCTCATGGAGTCTGTTTCTGACCAATTGAGCAGACACATGCACATTTGTGACCCTTCTGGAGGTCATTTTGCAGGGCTCTGGTAGTCCTCCTCCTGTTCCTCCTTGCACAAAGGCGGAGGTAGCAGTCCTGCTGCTGGGTTGTTGCCCTCCTACGGCCTCCTCCACGTCTCCTGATGTACTGGCCTGTCTCCTGGTAGCGCCTCCACACTCTGGACACTACGCTGACAGACACAGAAAACCTTCTTGCCACAGCTCGCATTGATGTGCCATCCTGGATGAGCTGCACTACCTGAGCCACTTGTGTGGCTTGTAGACTCCGTCTCATGCTACCATTAGGGTGAAAGCACCGCCAGCATTCAAAAGTGACCAAAACATCAGCCAGGAAGCACAGGAACTGAGAAGTGGTCACCACCTGCAGAACCACTCCTTTATTGGGGGTGTCTTGCTAATTGCCTATAATTTCCACCTGTTGTCTATTCCATTTGCACAAAAGCATGTGAAATTGATTATCACTCAGTGTTGCTTCCTCAGTGGACAGTTTGATTTCACAGAAGTGTGATTGACTTGGAGTTACATTGTGTTGTTTAAGTGTTCCCTTTATTTTTTTGAGCAGTGTGTATATATATAAATAAATAAATATAAAAGTCCAGACTCTGGCACTCAATCCCAACGTGGAAAATCAAAAATAAATTACCCGGGTGCCTCCAGGCCAATAAGTACATTAATACAAACAGGAGCACTCACTTGGATTTGCCAATAGTGTATTAAAAAAAATGTTCATCAATCTACATCAGCGTTTCGACCCTTCAGGGTCTTTATCAAGATCTTGATAAAGACCCTGAAGGGTTGAAACGTTGATGTAGATTGATGAACATTTTTTAATACACTATTGGCAAATCCAAGTGAGTGCTCCTGTTTGTATTGATAGATAGATAGATAGATAGATAGATAGATAGATAGATAGAGAGATAGAGAGATAGAGAGATAAACAATTAGACTTGGACATTAGTTTTGTTACAAACTGCAATTCATCTGAATTTGAGCCAGTTGGCTGATCATTACGAAACAATCACCTTGCCATACAGTTAAACATGTTTGTTTGATTTGTAAATCGAAATTCCGACAGAAGAAATAGATGGTTGTCAGGGAAAAAAAGATGATTAATATCTTGGAGACAGTAACTAAATGGTGATTTTATTCATAGATCAAGTGAGAAGTGCCCTTTTGGTTTGTCAGATTCATTTTTCTAAATCTTTCTAAATCAGTGAATAAATGGTAACAAGCCAAAC